GCATGGGGATGCTGCGGGCCAGCTCCTCCATGTGCCGCGCAAACTCCTTGGTTCTGTACTGGGTGACCTTGGCCAGTTCCATTGTCTTGGCCGAGGTGATGATGGGAATGTGACGGGCGATCTCCAGGGCCTTCTGGACCTTCTCGGCGCCCTCGGTGCGGAAGAACTCGTTGATGGCCCGCTCGGTCTTCTTCAGGTGGCTTCGGACCATGCCCAGCAGGGCCACATTGAGGACCATGGTGACGGAGAAGGCGACAAGACAAACGCCCACGAAGTAGACGCCCAGGCCGCTGTGGGTATAGGCCACGCGGACGGTTACGCTGTAGTTGCCGCCGTCTGTTACGCACATGTAGCGCCCGCGGTCCTCGAAGGAGACACCGCTGATGTTGAGTTGCCCCTTTTCCTCGATAAGCCACTTCCCGCCTGCGAGTACAAAATGACGAGTGTAATGTTGCACTTTTTGCTCGATAAGCCATTTCCCCAATAGTTCTTGAGTGGTCCTGCAAGAAACAAGTCACTTCCCACCTAAAGAATGGAGATTACTGTGACGTTAAGTTCATTTCTTCATTTCCTCCTACCTGGTTCCTCGACCAGCTGACGTCCGCCGGGACCGTACCATCTGACATCACCGTGGCCCCCCGTCACGTTGCACTCGATCAAGGCGTCTGTTCCCTCCTTGAGCACGACACTGGCGGACTCTGTCTCCTGCTCCGAGCGATTCTCGGCGCCATCAACCACGCAGGTGCAGAGGAGCAGCAGCACGGGCATGTTTTTCGCCGTTGGCATGTCGACAAGGGGCAGACCTGCAGAAACGGGTCAGGTGACATTTTCACACTCCCATCAGCCGTTGTAGTTGCATGTGCAGTGTACGCTCCAACCAATGATTCATGAAACTGAAATCAAGAACAATTTTTAACACACACTTACGCACATGGATGCACGCACACACACACGCTTAATAATAATCATGATAACAATGGTAAATATAATTAACACTGAGCTAAAGTCTCGTGAGATGCCGTCTCCACGTGGAATGAAGGTTAGAAATCTATAATTTGGGGAAATGGAGGTTCCACTGTACATTAAATAACACGGACGCACACATCCACGCACACAGTCAAAGACGTGTTCGAAAATAAGGTCTTACTTGTGCTCAAGCAGACTGCAAAATTAAAATCCTCAACCGACACAAACTACTTCCAATTTTAGACGCTTAATAGGAGTGGAAATGTGTAAAATAGATTGGTCTTTCATCCATAAGTCCTCTTGTTCACGTTAAAACTGCATTAAAAGTTGAAAAGGTTCGATTCGGTCGTGTCATGTACTTCCGTGTTAAGAAGGAAAATAGTTTTGCATTGACTGAGTAGGCGTGGCTTGTTGTCAGGTAAAGTTCCTTAATTAACGGGCTAGCTCGGTTAGCTTAGCACTTCAACGGAGTCAGCTTGAAATATTTCGTTCGTACTGCAGCAGTAACACGAAACGGAAATGGTTGCTCACAGTCACATTATTTACTGTCATACTAAAAAAAAGACTACCAATTGTGAAAACAGTCTGAGAAAAAGAGAACGGTGAAGACCTGTTGGCCGTTCATGTGCCCACATACCCCATGATGCTTTGTGCCAACTCACGTCAGCCAACAACAAGGGAAGCGAAAGACAAGTCGCCACTTTGTATGCTTCTCAATACCGTGTCGACATAAATTAAATTCATGTGATAAGTTTACGTGTCTACAAATGTTTATTTTACATATCTTTTTCTTTATCTGAAACATTTCCTCACGGGTATTAGTTAGAATATAACAGAATATTTTTGGCAATGAACAGAGCTCCCATATGGTCTAGCGGTTAGGATTCCTGGTTTTCACCCAGGCGGCCCGGGTTCGACTCCCGGTATGGGAACTACCATTTTGGCGCCACCAAAGCAACAGTAGCATCCTTCTCGAAATTCAGAGCGACCTCTTACGTATGGAAGATAAATGCACAAGGCTACCGTAATTAGAAACGAGGAAGTAACAATTGACATTCCTTAACTTTTATTGATAAATATTCTCATTTTAAACATCAACATTCCAAGAAATTCACAATCTTCAATCATCGGTGAGCTATTTTTAGATCAGCTACTCATGTGGTCCTTTGGGGTGACCTGGTGCCAACAAGCGTATCGTTGGTGACCCCTGCCTGGCAACTTATTCGATATTGTGCAAAAAAATCAAATAAATAAAAGCCGCAAAAAAGGCATGAAGCCCTGTAAAAGGCTGGTGAAATTCCATGACGTCTTTTACCAAAACACAAATGACGCCTAATGACACAGTGGGAAATGTGAGAATACTTTTACAGGGCAGTGAATGGTTTCACTTTTACAACTCACTCAAAAGAACAGCAGGGGATCCTCCAGGGGTGCTGTGCTCAGTGCTAATAATCCACTGACAAAAGTCTTTTTAAATACTTGGAGAGGAGTGAATAACATGGACCCCGGATGGCATTTTGCAAGGCGAATTACCATCTGAAGTGCACAGTGGAGTGAATGTGAATTACAGCCATATGTGAACTCAAGGATCTGAATTTTTCGATACAAAACGGCACAGCTCCCCTCGGTGGTGGATTATTTTCACAACAATCACTGATGGCAATCGCCTTCAATTAAAAAAAAAAAAACAACTTTTTTTTATACATGTCAGTGAATACCTGATGTTTATTTGATTATTTAAACAGAATTTTCAGGGATTCTATTTATTTATTGGATTTTATCCATCGACCCATCTGTTTTAATATCATACAATGAGGAAAATGAGCAGCTTGACATTTTTGGGGGATCAGTTTCTCCTATGGAAGAGCAAATAAACATCAAATTCTAATTCAAATTTCAAAACATTTTTCAAACCGACACACACACACACACACACACACACACACACACACACACACACGCACACACACACACACACACACACACACAAAATAAACAACAATAATTGTTCAATAAACAGTAATGGGGATGGTTTCATTATACACTTTAATGCAAAATAAAATTATATTCAATTAATCAAACGAATTCTATTTTAAAAATAATAACTAGTGACAGCTCTTTATTTATTATTCGGGAAAAGTTGTTATTTTTGAGGAGACAGTACTATAGAAAAAAGTAATATTTTGAGTCCAGTCTTCACCGTCCGTCATGGCGAGTGAACGGACACCTCCATGTCTGCTACCTGACTTCCTCGCTCTTCCCCTGCCATCAACCCGACCGCTCCCCTCTCGCTTTCCGGGGGCTCGGCGGTGCCCGACGCGCCGGCGCCGCCGCGGCAGTTGCTTAATAGCGGCGGCAAGGGGATGCTGCGGGCCAGCTCCTCCATGTGCCGCGCAAACTCCTTGGTTCTGTACTGGGTGACCTTGGCCAGTTCCATTGTCTTGGCCGAGGTGATGATGGGAATGTGACGGGCGATCTCCAGGGCCTTCTGGACCTTCTCGGCGCCCTCGGTGCGGAAGAACTCGTTGATGGCCCGCTCGGTCTTCTTCAGGTGGCTTCGGACCATGCCCAGCAGGGCCACATTGAGGACCATGGTGACGGAGAAGGCGACAAGACAAACGCCCACGAAGTAGACGCCCAGGCCGCTGTGGGTATAGGCCACGCGGACGGTTACGCTGTAGTTGCCGCCGTCTGTTACGCACATGTAGCGCCCGCGGTCCTCGAAGGAGACACCGCTGATGTTGAGTTGCCCCTTTTCCTCGATAAGCCACTTCCCGCCTGCGAGTACAAAATGACGAGTGTAATGTTGCACTTTTTGCTCGATAAGCCATTTCCCCAATAGTTCTTGAGTGGTCCTGCAAGAAACAAGTCACTTCCCACCTAAAGAATGGAGATTACTGTGACGTTAAGTTCATTTCTTCATTTCCTCCTACCTGGTTCCTCGACCAGCTGACGTCCGCCGGGACCGTACCATCTGACATCACCGTGGCCCCCCGTCACGTTGCACTCGATCAAGGCGTCTGTTCCCTCCTTGAGCACGACACTGGCGGACTCTGTCTCCTGCTCCGAGCGATTCTCGGCGCCATCAACCACGCAGGTGCAGAGGAGCAGCAGCACGGGCATGTTTTTCGCCGTTGGCATGTCGACAAGGGGCAGACCTGCAGAAACGGGTCAGGTGACATTTTCACACTCCCATCAGCCGTTGTAGTTGCATGTGCAGTGTACGCTCCAACCAATGATTCATGAAACTGAAATCAAGAACAATTTTTAACACACACTTACGCACATGGATGCACGCACACACACACGCTTAATAATAATCATGATAACAATGGTAAATATAATTAACACTGAGCTAAAGTCTCGTGAGATGCCGTCTCCACGTGGAATGAAGGTTAGAAATCTATAATTTGGGGAAATGGAGGTTCCACTGTACATTAAATAACACGGACGCACACATCCACGCACACAGTCAAAGACGTGTTCGAAAATAAGGTCTTACTTGTGCTCAAGCAGACTGCAAAATTAAAATCCTCAACCGACACAAACTACTTCCAATTTTAGACGCTTAATAGGAGTGGAAATGTGTAAAATAGATTGGTCTTTCATCCATAAGTCCTCTTGTTCACGTTAAAACTGCATTAAAAGTTGAAAAGGTTCGATTCGGTCGTGTCATGTACTTCCGTGTTAAGAAGGAAAATAGTTTTGCATTGACTGAGTAGGCGTGGCTTGTTGTCAGGTAAAGGCGTGGACAAACTTCGCTGTTTTTTATTTAAAGTGTATAAATTGTAGTTTTATTTGCACCTCTTTTTAATTATAACAATAATAATATATAGTATAAAACCATACAATACATTTACTTGAATTACACATACGTTGATGTGAACTAGACACTAATATTTACGTCTTGTACTAAGCAATTTCGTGACGACCGGAAATTGTTTTTTCGCTTCGTATTTAGGTAGCGGATGCGAGTCGAGTGGGTGTTGTTTGTTGTCAGGTATCTCGACGAACTTCGCTGTTTTATTTCTCCTCAAAATTAAACATTAAATAGTAGCTATATTTTTGTTTTTAGATAATTAATATACTTAGAGTGACCTAGTCTTTGTACGTACTGGCGGCAGATCTCACGTTTTCCCTGAGCTAAGACAGACCTTTCCATACTTTTATTTTGAAACAATCAATCGGATCTTCTTTTGTTACCAATTCGTAGGAAGAAAAGACACATTTGTGACGTGGCTAATCATCTGGAAGACAAAAAGACAACATTTTTAGAACATTTAGGCATTTGATCCGCTCTGAAATACAAGAACGATAAACTCATTTTGTGGACCCATGTATTTTTGTTGTTTTTGACAGGGAAACTTTGCACGGAGGCTAGCGTAAACTGCTAGCTTCCACACTGACAGCTGGAGAGGAAGAGACGTGGTGAGCTGTTTACAAAGTGGTGTCTCCTAAAAATCTGTAAAATGCAATCAAAGCGCATGAAAAGCGACCAACTTCGGTTTCTTACACAACCGCTAGTTTGCCAAAAGCTACGCAATAGTATCTCTGGCCGAAACTACCGAGCAATGTCATTAAATATTGTCAACAAAACAGCAATTTTACTAATTCGCATGGCTGACTCGTTTTAAAACATCCACAATTAATCGTTTTCGGGACTTTTGGACTTTGTACTTCCACGTAGCTCGTAGATAATATGTGTATGTTTTTATGGTCCAAAAGGCACGCAATTTAATTGCACATAAAACAGAGTTACAATTCCACCCGCAATAAGACAAATACTTGTAAATAAACACGAATACTGATTTGAAATCAAATATAGCAATATAATGTGTTTAGCGTGAAATATATCAGATGGACCCAAACCTTTTAGACTGACTGATTTAAAGACAAGAGGCAGGGCGACTGTGATGAAAGTAGAGAAGCAAGGATGGTAAGGTACTTGGGAAGGAAGGGTCCAAGGAGCAAGGATGGTATGAAAGAAGGAAGGGATCAAGCAAGGATGACGGCAGAATGTAATTATAACAATAATAATATATAGTATAAAACCATACAATACATTTACTTGAATTACACATACGTTGATGTGAACTAGACACTAATATTTACGTCTTGCACTAAGCAATTTCGTGACGACCGGAAATTGTTTTTTCGCTTCGTATTTAGGTAGCGGATGCGAGTCGAGTGGGTGTTGTTTGTTGTCAGGTATCTCGACGAACTTCGCTGTTTTATTTCTCCTCAAAATTAAACATTAAATAGTAGTTATATTTTTGTTTGTAGATAATTAATATACTTAGAGTGACCTATTCTTTGTACGTACTGGCGGCAGATATCACGTTTTCCCTTAGCTTCGATAGACCTTTCCATACTTTTATTTTGAAACAATCAATCGGATCTTCTTTTGTTACCAATTCGTAGGAAGAAAAGACACATTTGTGACGTGGCTAATCATCTGGAAGACAAAAAGACAACATTTTTAGAACATTTAGGCATTTGATCCGCTCTGAAATACAAGAACGATAAACTCATTTTGTGGACCCATGTATTTTTGTTGTTTTTGACAGGGAAACTTTGCACGGAGGCTAGCGTAACTGCTAGCTTCCACACTGACAGCTGGAGAGGAAGAGACGTGGTGAGCTGTTTACAAAGTGGTGTCTCCTAAAAATCTGTAAAATGCAATCAAAGCGCATGAAAAGCGACCAACTTCGGTTTCTTACACAACCGCTAGTTTGCCAAAAGCTACGCAATAGTATCTCTGGCCGAAACTACCGAGCAATGTCATTAAATATTGTCAACAAAACAGCAATTTTACTAATTCGCATGGCTGACTCGTTTTAAAACATCCACAATTAATCGTTTTCGGGACTTTTGGACTTTGTACCTCCACGTAGCTCGTAGATAATATATGTATGTTTTTATGGTCCAAAAGGCACACAATTTAATTGCACAGTTACAATTCCACCCGCAATAAGACAAATACTTGTAAATAAACACGAATACTGATTTGAAATCAAATATAGCAATATAATGTGTTTAGCGTGAAATATATCAGATGGGCCCAAACCTTTTAGACTGACTGATTTAAAGACAAGAGGCAGGGCGACTGTGATGAAAGTAGAGAAGCAAGGATGGTAAGGTACTTGGGAAGGAAGGGTCCAAGGAGCAAGGATGGTATGAAAGAAGGAAGGGATCAAGCAAGGATGACGGCAGAATGTAAAAATGGATGGCACTGAAAGGGAGAAAGGATGTATGGATGGAAAGAAGGAAACAAGAATTTATGAAGAAAGGAAGGGAGAAAAGATGGATGGAACAGAGAGGAACAAGGATAGTATGAAAGACAGGAAGGAAAGACCATAGCAAGGATTGAGGAAGGTACCGTCTCTTGAAAAGTCCACGTCAGCTTTACAGATGCCATGTCTTTTCCCTTCAGGCATGCGCTAAGAGTCGACCATGTCGGACAACGAAGCCAGCGCACCCGAGGTTCAGGCCGCCGAGACGCCCGACGGCTCCCCGCCGACCTCTCCCGACGTGTCGACGGATGTGGCGCCCACCAGGAAAGCCCGGAGGAGGGCGGAGCCCCAAGCCCAATTGCCAGAGGAACCCAAAATGGACGAGGAGCCGGCAAAGGTAGCTGTCAGACACAGAAAACGAATGACTTTGTTCACATAGAGTAAGAACGATCAAAATAGTCCTTTTGTCCATGAAAAGTAAAAAAGCTTAATGCTTTGTTCATAAACGACAGAACAATCATTAACCGGAGATGTTTATTCACCAAAAAAAAAAGAAAAAAAAGAAAAAAACATAAAATAATTGTATTCCTGAATCATTTAATTTAAAAAACAAAAAAAGTCATTTTGTTCACCAAAACAGATAAAAAGAATGAACTTCTTTTTCCACTTACGGTTTTTGGATTTTGTTTGCAATTATTGATCACATTGCTCCTTTTTTTATTTTTTATTTTTTTTTTTGAGGGGCCACCGAGTCAGTCTACAGTTATGCAGGGAGGTTGGGGTTTCTGGGGTGACTGGGGCAAATCCATCCTCTCCACTGCCACCGCCACCGTGGCCACTGTGGGTGAGTACACAATCCAGCTGCCCGACCAACGTCCGCACGCTGTGACATCATCATGTCGTTCGCCCCTCAGGCCAGGGGCTGACCCAAGTCATCGAGAAGGCCGAGACATCGCTGGGCATCCCGAGTCCCGCCGAGCTGTCGGTTCAAGCGGCAGACGACGAGAAGGCGGAGGAGCAGCAGCGGCGGGAAGCGGGTGAGATGGAACGGCCGGCCGGCGCCATGGGGATGCTCACGTCGCTCACCAGCGTTGTTCAGAACACGGTAAGTCCCAACGGGGCGACCGCACAGTTCCGAGGGATGCTGTCAGGCGGCGCCATTGCATCCGACGTGCCTGCAGGGGAAGACGGTGATCAGCGGCAGCCTGGACGCTCTCGAGTTCATCGGGAAGAAGACGATGGACGTGATTGCGGAAGGCGACCCCGGTTTCAAGAAGACCAAAGGCCTGATGATCGGGACTTCCACCCTCTCTCAGGTGAACTTCAGCAAGTTGGGCAGCGGGAGCACCGAGAGGCCAAGGACTGACGCTTGCGTCTTTTGGGTCAGGTGCTGAGGGAGGCTAAGGAGCGAGAGGAGCTTCAAACGGAGGAGTCGTCGGACTCTGAGAAGAAGCCGGTGGCTCACTACGGGGTCCTCTTTGACCAGTATCAGGGCCTCGCTCACCTTGAGGCCCTGGAGATGCTTTCTCGGGAAAGCGAGTCAAAGGTCGGAGTGGAAGGGAGGGCGAGGCGAGGATTTTGGCCAGTTTATTTGTAGTCATTTAAATTTTTTTTTTTATTGGACAGGTGAAGTCGGTGCTGACGACGCTGTCGGGAGACGAGCTGAGCAAGCTGAGAGATGAGCTGGGGCTCATCAAGGCCGCCTTCTCCATGATGGAGTTTGACGACGAAGACGTGGACGAGAAGAAAGGTATCAAAGCCCAACATGAGCTGTTCTCATTTCAAAATCATTTCAATTCCATAAACGCCTCCCGAGTTAAAGTTCCATTTCCTGTCCGGTGGTCATCACTTCCGCTATTCCTGTGTGTAATTCCAGACCAGGATGGCGCCGAGTTTGAAGCGGAGCTCGGCCAAGCCCTGGAAGGTCTCCGTGTTTCCACCACCGCCGAAAAACTCAGCAAGGTGCCCATAATTCCATGATATGCAAAGCGTATGGAAATCCATTTGAACAAGTTATCCCAAATCCTTGACAAGGTCCTCTTACTCGTACACTCTTGGTCCTTGCAAGTAAGACGAATCAGCGCACGGCTAGGATATGACGTGAATATCAAAAAGCGTTTTCCATGAATGTGACCGCCAAGCAGGCTTGCAAAGACGCCTGCGACGTGATCGTGGACTTCAGCAAACAGGCAGAGGACGACGAGGAAGAGAGGGGCCAGCTCACAGTGGAGGTATGGACGCATTCGGTGAAACAGCACCATCATCTGGTCAAAATATGGAGCTGCATCATTGGTGTAAAAAAATAATAATAATAATAATAATAAAAAAATCAGACGGCAATCAAAAAATGTCGACTTTTTGTCCTCCCCAGGAGGTGAACGCCGCCGCCATCAGGAGTCTTGCCGAGCTGACGGCGCGCTCCATCGAGCTTTTCCACAAGCTGGGCGAGGGCCTCCTGCTGTCCAACGGAGACGTGGAGGTGGACATCTTGTCGCAGTAAGATGTTTTTTTTTGGGAACGGTACAAGCAAAAAGAAATTCTGATTTGTTCTTTTAATCGACGTCAACAGTATCTTATTGACACAATTAATGTGCTGAAGTTGGAAATGACAAGATCAGACAAAAATCCACACAAGATCAGACAAAAATCCACACCCTTGGCAAGTTTGACTACGTTATACTACAAGTCTCACCTTCCTTCCTTTTGCGTCCTCAGGCTGACGGTTGTCCTGTGTAAAGAAGTCTCGCTGCTTTCCAAGAAGTTCACCACCTGTCTAACAGCGGCTGGGGTGCGTAGAAACATGAATCCTGGAAAAAACAGGAAAAGATTCAGGGATTTATCTCGGATCCTTTTTTTTTTTTTTTTTGCCCCTAGTCAAACGAGAAGGGAGAAGTGCTCAACCCACTTATAACGGGAGTCTTCTTAGAGGTTTGTGTCTGAATCTAAGAGCCCAGGTTGAGTGGCTCATAAGCACTAAACTGTTTGCCCCTCACACAGGCATCGAACAGTGCGTCGTACATTCAGGATGCCTTCCAACTCCTGATGCCCATCCTGGAGATCTGCCACATCCAGAGGAGAGCCAACCCGCCCGACCACTGATTTTTTTTTTTTTTTTCCTTCCCCAGTTTCAACTGGTTTTAACTACCGGTATATGTTTTGTATCTGTCAAACTAGCCACTATGGAACTCTTACCACTGCTGCTTTGCAAGTGGCATCAGTTCAAGTTCTGAACCCCCCCAAAAAATCCTTCTCACTCAAAGCTCAGGTGGTCAGATATGAAGTCTTGTGGTCAGGTCATGTGCAGAGCGGTGGAACAAACAGACGAAGTGCTTTAAAATAAAACATTTTATAGGTATAAGTGTGTGTTTTCATTCCACTGCTAAACTGAAATCACACATACACACACACACACACGCACACACACACACATATATAAATATGAATGAATACTGTTAATATCACCCCCTCCATCCCACAAAAAAAAAAAAAAAAAAAAAAAGGATTTTCCTACCAATCACCCTCCGGGCGACAGGTGGCGACAATCACATGAACCGGAAGTCGTTGGCACCACAAAGAAAGAACCAATCAGAGTCGTTGGCGGAAACGACTAAGAAGCCCGGTACAGCACTTGCTAGCTCGCCTCCGTGGACGAGATTCTGAGGTACAAACTACTTTCGAATTATTTTCATTTCGGCGACAGATTTCTTTTGGTGTTGATATGGTTGCAGGTGTCGTCGTTTTCGTCTACGAAACAAAAACGTAGCAGTTGAGCGACCGGCGACGTTCACGCCGTCGTGAGCGAGAAGATGTGTTGGCTAGTCAACATTAGCTTGAGTGCTAAACTTCCGGTGTCGTTACTTATCCCGTTATGAAGTCAAGACACTCTCAGTATTTATGCTCACACGATCGCTTAAAGAGGCGGAATTACTACTGCGTTGTTTTTAAGTTCCGACAAGTGAAAGCAACATCTTAGCTCTCCGGCTCGGTTCTTGTAAACAACTCCACGCCATACCCAGCATGCAACCCGCGCAGCTGAGAAAAAAAATAAACCAATCAAATCACGAATATTAGAAGCTAAAATAACTGGAGGCATACTACATACATTTATTTCTAATTTTATGTCTGCGTTTATTTTAAAATTACATATTTTCCACCGATATGAACAGAATGTCTGTTTTGCACATTTTATTTAAATTTACTACCTAGAAAATAAACTGGAGTGTTGTTTCCAAATATGTGATGAAGTTTAATATTGACAAACGCTGAAATGAGTTGAGGAGCTTCATTTAGACAAAATGTAATTATCTGCTGTTTCCTAAAAGGCCCTATTTTGTCATGAAGTGGTGCCAAAGCACTAATTGGAATCTCAGGAAGCACGTTGAAGCATCTTGAGAGCCAAGATTTGTATTTGGGGGAGGAGAGCCTGAGCTGTTGGCAAAAAGTGCAATTCCCATACACTTAAAAAAAAAGTTTCATCCTGAATGCATGTTTTCCCCATTGTCAGATATTATTTGCCCCCTTCCCAGAACAGCCGCAACCCAAGAGCGCCGCAGACCTGTAGGTGGGGATCGTCGAAAGGTCTCGTGAGCCGCCGCCAACATGCCGGCCGCACTCACGGATGCCAGCCAGATCATCTGCGAGGTCTGGGCCAGCAACGTGGACAACGAGATGAAGAAAATCCGACAGATCATCCAGAGCTACAACTACATCGCCATGGTAACTGATTACACCCACTCCGACAAAGTGTTTAAGGTCACATCGTCAAAAGGTTAAATATGAGCGCTTATATATTTATATATTTCTTTTGAATGGCAAGGACACGGAATTTCCCGGCGTGGTGGTTCGGCCAATCGGCGAGTTCCGCAGCACGGTGGACTACCAGTACCAGCTGCTGCGCTGCAACGTGGACTTGCTCAAGATCATCCAGCTGGGCCTCACCTTCATGAACCAGGACGGCGACTACCCGCACGGCACCACCACCTGGCAGTTCAACTTCAAGTTCAACCTCACGTACGCGCGCACGCACTGCCGTTTTCCAATTGCTCACGCTTGCCTTTTCTCCCTCTCTCGCTCTTATTCTGTCTTTTGTCCCGCTTTCACCAATCCTACCATACCCTCTCTCGCTCCTTATTTTTGTCTTTGTCTCTCACTCTTTCAAACCTTTGACTCAGTTGCAAGGGTGTTCTCGTTCATGAATACTATTAACTTGTACACGCGGTGTGGAAAATGAAAAATGTCTCTCTCTCTCTTTCCAGAGAAGACATGTACTCTCAAGACTCGATCGACCTCCTGCAGAACTCGGGCCTTCAGTTCAAGAAGCATGAGGAGGAAGGCATCGACACGCTCTACTTCGCCGAGCTGCTTATGACGTCAGGCCTGGTGCTGTGCGACAACGTCAAGTGGCTCTCCTTCCACAGGTGGGTGCCGGCCGCCCATTTTTATTCTACCGGCCCGGTGGCGGTCGTCATGACAACAAGCAACGTCGTCCAACTCGCCCCCCTCCAGCGGCTACGACTTTGGCTACCTCGTGAAGCTGCTGACGGATGCCAGGTTGCCCGAGGAGGAGCACGACTTCTTCCAGATCCTCAACCTCTTCTTCCCCGCTATCTACGACGTCAAATATCTGATGAAGAGCTGCAAGAACCTCAAGGTACACCAACAAACCCACAACAGGCTTTCGGATCACCCGAATTGAAGGGAAGACATTTTAGACCAACCTAAAGAAAAAGAAAAGGTGCTGTACCTCCATCAGTGCCTTTTGTGTTTTCAACTCTCAGGGCGGCTTGCAGGAAGTGGCGGACCAGCTGGAGCTGAAGCGTATCGGGCGGCAGCATCAGGCGGGTTCTGACTCGCTGCTCACCGGCATGGCCTTCTTCAGGATGAAAGAGGTAGCACGCGCTCTTCCACGCAGGGAGCGTTGAGGTCGCTCATCGCTGACCAGCCCATCTTTCGCTTCCCCGTCAGCTGTTCTTCGAGGACAACATCGACGACGCCAAGTATTGCGGCCGCTTGTATGGCCTGGGCTCGGGCTCCACGCAACCCCAGAACGGCATCGCCAGCTCGGGCCAGGAGGAGAGCAACAACAAGCACTGACTGGCGGCCTTGCCCTCGTTGCACTTGTTTTAGAAACCTTTTAAATCCATTGTTTGTTTGTTATGGGGTTCGCTTGTTGTCATTGGCGAGCGTGGGACCACAACACCAGCAGCAGTTTTTCTTACCAAGCTGCGCTCACTCGGTTTTAAAGTGAACGCCGGTAGGGCCCTCCACCCATTGTAAATTTCAAATGGATAATTGTTTTTTTTTTTGAAAGAGAAATAAAAACGTTTTAGAATTTTTCTCCAGATGTTAAGAGAGAACGTTTTAAACGCATGCGTCCGTTTTTTGTCCGGGCCAAACTACTGTCGGCGTGAAGATGTTACCGTTGTTTTTAAGTTCTGACTTGTTTTAAATTGTTGTACATTAAATTGTTTTGTATTTTCAACATACGCTTGCTTCTTTTTTTTTTTTTTTAAGTTAGCAAAAAGGAAGCTTTGACATACGTTCTGACTTTTTGTTTTTAATTCAACAAAATGGCTGTACAGTAGAATGGGTCCACGACTTAGCTCAAGAATCGCCGGGAGGCCTTGCTTAGCATCGGGCATGTTCCGTATTTCCGCAGCAGGTCTTTGGCGTCCCTCTGCAGGGATTCGGAAATGGAGGCGCCGAGGTGGAGTAGGACCAGGCAACACTCTGCCACATCAGGACGAGGATACAACTAGAAAGTGGAGCCAAGGAGGAGGATGCCGACTGGTTAAAACAGAAACTTGGAACGAGCTGAGAAATCCAATGATTGCACTCATCCCAGGGTACAGGCTGAGCAAAGGGGGTCCAAGAACTGACCCTTGAGGGACCCCATATGTCATGGCCATTCAACCTGATTCCAAACTGCCGATGGTCACCAACTCACAAAAATAACTCCTCCGAATAGAATCTCAACCATTTTAGGACTGTTCCATTTACTCCTACCCAATAGTATCGATTTGTGGGGGTGGGTGGGCAGGAAATCGGACCAAATATGGACATTGGGGGTTTCGCTATGACGTGGATCACCTTTTGTACTGCTTGAATTTAGTCATTTTGTTACACTCATCCCATGTTGGTACCTTGACGGTTTCAGGAATGTCAGCCAGCTGCGTTTGGTGTTTTGCCATCTTTGCGCTCAAGGAGAGAAAAGTCTCCTCTTCTTCAGGCCTGAAGAAAAGAAAAGAAAACCACACAGTTACAAGATGGCGACAAAATAGGCCGCAAAGCCCACAAAGGTGCAGCCTCGTGGTCCTATGGTTATTTTTAGAACAGTATTTTACCGATGATCCCAAGCACTCACTGTTCAGCCTCGGCAGGTTGCTCCCCGTTGGCGGCCATGTTGCGTCCGTGCTGAGCCACCATGGCGGCCAGGCGCTGCTGCACTTCCTCCGTCGCCCGCCGCTCGGCCTGCCACGCGACGTGAGCGTCGGACAGCAGCGAAGACGCGTCAAAGTCCAGCTCGCCGGACGTCTTGGCTTCTTCCGGGTATCCTTCGGCATGGAGCCCGTTGCTGATGATTTCATCAGCTGTGCGTCGCCACCACAACTCGTACAGACGGTGGTAGGCGGCCCACGCCCGTAAGGTATCGGCCTCGGTCCGGGCTTCTTCACCCACGTCGCAATGGACCTCTGTCAAGGCAGCTGCCAGAATGAGAAGCAGGGCACCCGAGACCTGAAAGTCGGCGGCCTCCCGGAGCCATGCTGCCGCCAGCCACAGCTCCTTCACCAGCGTGCCGCCGCCGTCGTCGAGTAACCATGATAGGATCCCACTGGCCACGTGACGGGACAAACCCAAAAGCACCTAACGGAAAACGATCAGCTCATTGAGACATCATATCGGCGAAATGGGTCAAACCCAGCTAGTGCCAAGTCCAACTCAGTAAAAAAAAAACGAGTTAGCCCACTTGGCTTCTGGGTGGCTGGCATACAACCTGCGTGAGTGGGAGGCTAGCGGTGAGCGCGGGGCTCTCCATGTTCTGGAGCTCCACAAGCAGAGCGCGGAGGTCGTCGCGGTCGCCTTCCGAGTCAACGCCAAAGTGTTGCGTCCAGACATGGCGCGCCCGCTCCAGGATGCTGCCCTCGGCCGGCCATGCGTGCCCGGTGCCGCGCATCTCGGGGAGGACGTCGGCGAGGGAGGCGCACAGCAGCTCAGTCACGCTGAGGTGAAGCCTGTGAACCTGCGCAGGATTTTTCATGGAACTTGAATTGACTGATTTTGTAACGTTTAAAGAAACAGAAGTGATTTGTATTTTATGGTACATTTAAAAGAAATATTTGTTCACATATTTTAAAATACTTGCAGTAGTAAGTAACCTATGCCTCATTTTATTAATTTGGTTCTTGTATTTCTAAGCCCAGTCTTGGCAGTGAAATTATATTGATTAAAAAAAAAAGTGTCAGCACTGACCAGGAGGCCCTTGTGGGAGGCGAGGACCTCCTGCGCAGCGACCCAGTCCCGCGCCGCCGCCGAATCTTTGGCGCAGCGCAGCGCCAGCGACTGGGCTAGAGCGACCTCGCCCGCCACGCTGGCCAACCGCTCCGCCGTCCTCAGTGAGGTCGCGTCGTTCTTGCGGGCAATCACCTTGGCGGCGTCGAAGCTGGCACCCGCCGCGATGTAACTAGGAGACGAAATTCGGAAGGCAGGGGGGGGGCGACTTAGGTCATAATTATGCCACAGCAATCATCTAGCTACTCTGCATGTCGCCCACGACATAAAACTCTCGAAATAGCAATTAGCGTTTGATTTCGAACCACGAATTGCTAAAGAGCCAAGTCACCATTTGGCGGCTGCAGAGAAATGTCCGTCTTTCTCCAAAACGACGGCCCAGCTGCTGTAGAGCTCCTTCAGGACGGGATCTTCAGCCGGCAGCCGCGCTTTGGCCAGAGCGATCGCCTCCCTAGAACAAGAAATAGAGAATGAAAACCGTTGCCCCTGACGTGAGGAATCTCAACACGGTACCTGTAGAGCTTGTGCGAGTGTAACAACTGGACGGCCTGGTACACTTGATTGATGGACAGAAGGTGAGCGGCCGCCTTCACGTGCTGCTCCTGCAGGCACAGCTGCTTGACGTAGCGCTCCACGGCATCGCGCCACACCGCGTAGCCCGCTGCAAAACCCGCGCCACCCCCGGCCGCCAAAAAAAAGTTACTCGCTGCCTTGTAATGGTGACATTTCACACGACGACACCCAAAGCACTCACCCATAGGAGCCACGGCGATGAGGTGGTCACTCAGCTCTCCTCTGTCCGCGGCCAGTCGCAGCGCCCCCTCCAGGTCGCCGCTCCACAGCCGGAGGTAGACGGCCGACTCGACGTGGCCGCTCTCCACGTGAGCCTCTTCTAAGAAAAAAACAACAACAAAAAAAACTCTAAATGTCTTTTGCCAAGGTGGAGGTGCTCGCCCTGGCCTGCCGGAGGCGCTGACGTGCCAAAGCAAGAAAACAGTCAACACCGCCATATACACACATGACATGCAACAAACTTTTCACACAGTCTCCACACACACACGCACACACACCAGTGTCGTGTGTCATGGAGGCCAGGGTGAGACAATCCTGGAGCAGATCCTCTTTGGGCCGATGGTCCATGGATGTGCTGAGGGGAAGGATGGAGCGAGACTTCTTCTTCTTCAGAGCGCTCGAGTCTGCAAACACTACACACACACACACACACACACACACACACACACACACACAAGTTACACGTGAACACCTTACATAGCCGCCACACGCATGCACACATCCAACGTGGATTTTAGACACAAGCCACGCACACGTTCCCCCCCACATGCGTCGTGGAAACTTACCTTGTTGGTCTTTGCTCTTGCCTCCAGTTGTGCTTTTCCTTTGCATCGCTAAGGTGGATGAGCTTGGAACAACACGAGGAGAGAAGGTTCCCTTTTCACCTGGTGGAGGCACAGGACTGCTGGCAGAGCGGACCTCTTCCTGTTCGGGTTCATCCGAGGCTTCCTGTCCATTACCGACCGCCGCCTCGGTCACGTGCTCGCCGTTGACTGCCGGACACGCCGCTTCCGATGCCTTTTTGCTCTTCTTCTTCTGCTTGGCCTTCTCCTTCAGGTCCACCATCTTCTTCCCTGAGAGGACGAAGATGCGGATCTTCGGCTTTGGCGGTTTAAAAGGCGCAAGGGCATCAAGCGGGTGGAGAGTCACCTTTGGGCGGCTTGGTGAACTCCTGCTTGGAGACTCTCCACTCTTGCACGGTGAAGTCCTTCCCTCCGGTCCAGAGGACGTCCGGGTCCACGGGGGACCAGTCCACGCTCAGCAGGGAGCTCGCGTGGCCGCGGTAGTTGGAGAGCGCCGCTTCCTGCTGCACGTCCCACACCTGAATGACACGCAATTTAAGAAAAGAAAAAAGTGCTCTCTCTTACGAGTACCAGTCAAGGGGCGAGCTGCAGCATTGTGGACCCACTGGGGACGCTGAATGGAGGACTGGCTGACTCCAAAGTCAAGTGCATTACAGTAAGCCATCTCAGGCTGGGCTGACCGACACTGACCTGGGCGGTTCCGTCGTACGAGACGCTGGCCAGCCTGCCGCTGTGATGCGGACTCCAAGCCAGGCCGGTGATTTTGGCCGTGTGGCCGCACAATCTGCGATACGGCTCTGTCAACACCAACGGGCTCTCCGGAGGCTTCTCTGCACGCGACAACATACATTTACCCTGACATTCCTTGAACATCCCCAAGAGAGTAATTTCGATTCTTTTACGGTACCTATGACCTGCCGCAGGTCGTGGACGTAGATGATGGCGTTGCAGGAGCCCGAGGCCAGCAGGCCGTGCAGCTCCGCGGGCGCGTTGTCTTCGGGGTGCCATCGTAGCACGTTGATGACCTTGTGGTGCTGCTGGATGCTGCACAGCAGCTTCAGCGACGGAGCCTGGTAGACGTCGATGCACCTGCGGGAAGACGAGGGGGACGGACGACGTGATCGGACGTGTTGCCAGCACATCAAGTGCGCAGCCGGCCGGGCTTCGTTACCCGTCCTCGTTGCCGATAGCCACGACTTTGCCGTCCGGCTTCCAGCTGAGGTCGGTGTGAGGAGATAGCTTGTGCTGTTGGCAAAACGCAAGTCAGCGTTTGCGCCGTTAGTTTCTTTTCACAACATATCATAATAGATGGAATATTACAAAATGTCAAAAGTTGAACAGCAGCACTTTGCCCCCTCCCACCTTGATGTTATTTGTCTGCCGGATGAGTTTGTCAATGTCGCATGCGTCACCGCTCAGCTTGGTGGGGTCGTGCTGAAGGATGACGCCCTCGCCGGCGCAGCTGTACAGGCTGTGAGACGCCTTGCCCTCCGCCGCGCCTGCGGGTCACATGCACACGACCTCAGCGGGAAACACGGCGCCGCCATGACTTGCAAGGCGTATTACTTTGGAGTCAGCCAATCCTCCTTTAAGCGTCTCCAGTGGGTCCACAATGCTGCAGCTCGGTACTCGTAAGAGGGAGCACATAACTCCTAACCTGGCATCCCTTGACTGGCTCCCCACATATTTGAAAGTTCTTTTTGAGATTCCATTATTTGGTTTCAAATGCCAAAGTCAAGTCACTCGCGTAACTAGTAGATGGGCCTTGTAGACTGATCCCTCCATCGGCTGCGCAAGTTTAAATGTGATCGGAAGAGCAGATGCCTTGTAGCGGCCACTCAGCATACAGGTGTTTAAATGTAGTTAAATAAAAAAAAAAAAACAAAAACGAACACTCTTAGTGAGACAAATGACCTGGGCTGACGTTAAAAGCTTCTTTTCAGCTCATTAGAGCAGCATACAGGTGTTTAAATGTAGTTAAATAAAAAAATAAAAAAAAACGAACACTCTTAGTAAGACAAATGACCTGGGCTGACATTAAAAGCTTCTTTTCAGCTCATTAGAGGCGATCGGCAGATGGTCGGCATGGCAACAATCAGGGCCCGTGAGCCAGGGTTTGACGGATGGACTCATTAAAACGCCATCTGCCCTAAGTTGCTTAAATGAACTGGGCTCGTTCAGTTACACAGTCAATTATAAGGCTAGAGAGAGAGGCGGGTGCAGACTTTTGCGGGTTTTTTTTTTTTTTGTCTGCTGACTAGCTTCATTGTTGTGTTGCTGACGGGTCAAAGTGGCAAAGACGCTTTTACCAAATGACATCGGAGGGAGCGGCGGTCCCCAGGCCAGCGAGTACACCGTCTTTTTGTGGTAGGTGCTCGAAATCTGAGGCGGTCTGCGAGGAAACCACAAAGTTACCAACAAGTGGATGGAAACTGTTGAATAAGATGAGTTTGTTTTTTTTCTTACTTGCTGGAGAAGACTTCGTAGATCCCCACTTTGCCGTCTTCAGTTCCAAACGACAAGGTTCCCTCTCGTTTTGGGTGCCAAGCCAGCTGCAAAAAAAACAACAAAGAAACAAACAAAAAAAAAAACGAAATGAAATGACGTCATAATGTAGGATAGCCTTTGAAAATATTAAATCGCGAATATGCGAAGGACACTGCCAATATTTTAAAAACGGGGAAAAAAATCTGTTGGTTTTGGCCAATTTTTCTCTCTGTTGTAAAGTTGAACAAATCATAAAAAGACAAAGTACAGTTAAAAAACTTTTTTTGTAACTGATCATTTGCCAAATCATCAGAATCTGCATCAATTAAAAAGAAATCCCGTGAGGAAATCGTGGCTTCTTACCGCCGTGACTTTGGACTTGACGCCCTGCCAGAAGCAGCGGGCGTCGTAGCGGTTCTGGGCGGACAGCGTGTTCCACACCCGGATCATGCTGTCGCCCACGCCCAGCGCCAGGCAGCCGGTGGCCACGGGCGAGAAGCTGAGGCTGTACACGAAGCCGCCCAGCGTGGGCAGCGTCCACAGGCACTCCAGCTCAGACAGGTCCCAACATTTCACCTGTACGGCCCAGCAAATGACAAGAGGAGTTGAAAACGAAATTCAAAGATGAACCTGTATTTTAATCAGGAAAAAGAAAACGTGACATTTTTTTGTGTTTATGAAAAAATAAATCAATAAAAATGGAGGGGTGAAAAAAGGGTTATAAAGATGAGTTTGTGTTCAAACAAAACTTGTTTTATAAAATGTGTAAAATTAAATGGATGAATGCCAGTTTTGTTAGCCCGTCTATAACTTTTCCCATTATCTGTTAGCATTTAGCTAGCTGACCTTGGTAAGACGGAGCCACGTGGTCGAGTTAACCGCACCGAATGTCACTCTCTTTTGTTAAACAGGAGTCAATGCACTCCTGTCACCATGTTCGCCTCGTGATTCCCGCGAAATAAAGTTCTGATGCTCTAGTCGGCTTTCCCTGACACTACTTTCCATCACAAGCCTGAATGTTTTGTACCTATTTCAAACTGTTCATCACCCCCCAAAAATCTATACAGCCCCCCCCAACCCGGAGAGGGCTGTATAGATTTTTTTCTTTACATCCACTATACTACTCGAGTACACTAAATTTTGAGGCATTCATCAGGACCACAGTTCATGAAAATGGGGCGTAAACTGAACGGAGGCCCACCTCTCTGTCTAAGGACGTGCTGACGAGCAGCTGGCGGCCGTCGGGCAGCATGAAGGCGGCGGTGTTGAACACGATCCTGCTGTGGTTCTGGCCCTCGGACGACGAGCCGAACAGGATCCACTTCTGCTTGCCTGTCCGGGCCAAGTCCCACATCAGCAGTTCGCCGCTGCACACAAGCACGCGTGTTAACCGTCTGGGCTGCGGGAGACGTGGGCACGCGGACGCTCGGACCTGAAGCAGCTTGAAACGAGCTGCGTGGGTCGGGCTTTGGGCCAGTGGATGTTGAGCCAAAGTCTTTCTTTGAGCGTTGGGTCGACTGCGGAGCCTCGTCTCTTCAGGTAGGGCAGCTTCAAGGTGGTCACGCCTGCATGGATGAGGCGCAAAATTTGAACAGTCAAAGAATTCCTTTTGGAGTTTAGATTTTCTATTCATCGCAATCATGCTGTGATTAAGTTAGCATCAAACAAATACAAAAATGTGAAAGGTACATATAAAAGGTATATAGGACATGTGCAAATGTATATATATATTTTTTTTATTTAGAAAAACAAAATTTACCAATTATTTATTAATTTTTGGTCAACAGCTTTTCATTTTTTGGCTTCAAATTCAGCTGAAGACTTGTACCTGTATTCGTGTTTTGTCGTGTAGTCTTCTTATTGTTTCAACTGCCTTATGTTAAATTGTTTGCTTTATTTCTGCCGTTTTGACACTTTGTGACGGCGTGCATCTCACCTTTTCCCGTGGACGCGCTCCAGATCCTCACCGTCTGGTCTTTGCTTCCCGACGCCAGGTAGCAGCCCTTCTCCTCTCCTGCACTCACCGCGTTCGAAGCTGGAACGCGCACAAGATGATAGATTTAGAGAAGAAATTGAATTAAAAAAACGAGACGATCCCACGGTGACCCCCGAGGTGACCATTATCGTCGCCAGCCTCCGCTCTCCAGTTGAGGGTATCCTCGCCGGCAAGCGGCGACCACGCCAGAGAGTGGATGTCATCATCGTGGCCGCGCAGCCGACGCGTCACCTCGCCCTTCTTGCTCACGTCGATCAGTAAAATCAGGCCGTCTTTGTACCTGCGCGAGAGAATGAAATGCAATCAATAAGGCGAGAGACACACAAGTGGGGCATCATGCCCATCAGGTAACCCAATAGTCACAAAGTGTATTATTCTGTGGATTAAAAAATACATTTTGAACATTCTGGGTGAAGTAAATAAAATATTTTATTTAAAATTTAAAAAAAAAATAAAAATAACAGATCAGTGCTAAATATCGGAAGTACAATAAATAGAGAGCTAGCTAGCTATTTATTTCATCGAGCTTGCTAGATGAAATATTCTAAATACTATTACTCTTGTTCTTATAATTGTATCACTTAATCTTTATGTTCCATTTTGTTTCCGTCCAACGCTTTGTTTCAGCTACGGGTATTTATTTAAGTACTCTCCAAATAAAGTTGAGTTGAGCGTTCGTGTCCTCATCTTACCCGACCGCCACAGTGCTCCAGTTGTGCGGGGAGCAGGTGAGGCAGACGATGCTTCTGGCTTCGGGGAAGAAGCTGGCCGTGTCTCCCGTGTTGTACCAGTGACAAGCCACGATTCCTTTCTCGTCACCCGACACCACCAGGTTTTTGTCCAGGGGGGACCAGTGCAAGGCCGAGACGGCGCTCTGAGGATGAAATGGCGCTCATTGTCTGGAACTACGATCAGACCTGGAGCGACAGAACTGACCTGATGAGCCGCATGCTCCCGTAAGAGAGTTTGAGTATTGGTGTCCCAGAAGATGATGACGCCATCGCCGGAGGAGCTGGCACAGATGTGACTCTGCGTCACATCCTGGCAGAAGGAAACGCCCGACACCAAGCCTCTGTGGCCCACGAGAACACCTGAAACAGAGAGTTACACAGTCTTTATAGAGAAACAAACAAAGTTTTGACGCCCAGGGAATGCCAGGGTCACACCACAATAGCAACCGAATCAAATTATTACCAGAATAAAGTCACATTACAGCGGTGCCTCGTGATACAAGCAACCACATAAGAGTTTTTTGAGATACAAGCCTTTCTTCGGACGTTGTTGCAAAAGTGTATCCATTTTTAAATATTTAATCAATTGGAAAAAATGTATGATTAATGGATGACGGAGGTCGACGGAAGGATGGGTAGGGGCATTTACGAGGGTGGTGGGTAACATTCCACGCCCATGGTGCTCAGAAATCTACGCAGTTTGCCACTTTTTTGCGAAAATGGTCAATCGATAGCCAAAACGACACTTTACAACACACTCGGAATTGATTTTGCAGTAGAATATTATTCTTTTTTACGTGATGTCCACTCACCTTGAGGACTGCAGGTAGATGCAGACACGTCAATCAAATAGATGAAGTTTTTGGCTCCGACGCCGAGTAAGCCGCCGCTGCTGATATCACAGCAGCGGGAGCAGTACCAATTGGGAGAGGCCGGAAGGAACCGTTCGTGCATGATGATAGTAAACCTCTGAATGGTTCCCGAATATAAAAAAAAAGACTCTTGGAAAGTAAGACAAAATAAGCAAGTCTCACATGTTTCCCACAGACCGGTGGAGCGTCACGGCAACGACCGTATGTCACCACGGTGTCGTAAAGGCCTGCTGCGACGGAAGTTGGGTTAGCCCAAGCACGACACATACGTTTTACAAAAGTAATGTTTGAATTCAAAGATTTTTTTATCTGTTTATTTAAATTTCAACTGATATCAAAGTGGGTGTTTTTGCGATATTTTAATTTCATTCAATGGTAAAACATATGTCAACAAACCTTTGCCGTAAAGTAATTCGTTGATGGGGAGCCAAAATGGCCGCAACCATGACAGGATGCGGTAAGGAACAGACGACATTTGATTATTTACAATGCCCATAAATTTCTTTAATATTAGATTTTTGCATTTTAATTACAGGTATTGCGTCAATAAGGAGTATGTTTGGACTTTTTTATCCGAGGTATGTAGCGATGACTGTATGCAGAGCTTCTCAGAAGGACGAATCGACATTGTTACTACGATAAATCAATTCTGAACCCCCTATCTTGGATATTATTCAAGTAGCACACGTATCTATCTATGTAATCACAGTAAAGCGGTAAAAGCACAATAGAAAATGGATGGATAGATGCACTTAAGTAATTTTTACCTGACCTCAGCGATATTCATTTGAGCCCCTCTTTATATTCGTGTGTCCAGGTTAGCGACAGGAGCCGCCGGTCCTCAACAGATGTCTTGCCTCCACACCAGCACTACAAGAGAAGAAAAACACTGGGAGAGGAAGAACAAGATCGTTTATCCGCCTCAGCTGCCTGGCGAGCCCCGCAGACCTGCAGTATGTCCTTTTCCCCTTTAAGTTGTGTTATAAATGTAAAATATGAAGCGTGTTGTCCCCCTCTCATACACAGGAGATCCATCATTCTAGGAGACAGATCAAGTACAGCAAAGACAAGATGTGGTACCTGGCTAAAATGGTGAGCAATAACATTTTGTGCGTGGGAAAATTGATTCATCATGGTTTCTGTGTCTTCATATCACTTCCGGTAATCCTGGCATTTGAACAGTTGTGTGTAAACATATCCTTTTGATGTTTTTCATGTAGATTAGGGGGATGAGCATCGACGAGGCTGTGGCACAGTTGCAGTTCAATGACAAAAAAGGGGCCAAGATTATGAGAGAAGTTCGTTTTTAAACTCTGTGCGCCATCTGTTCATTCAAATGTTCAAATCGTCATTGAAATTCCGATTGTTACCTTCCAGGTTCTCTTGGAAGCTCAGGAGATGGCGGTGAAGAATCACAACGTGGAGTACAAGTCCAACTTGTATGTGGGTGAGTGAATCCAGATTGGAAACGTGGATATACGATCAGGACATAAGAATTGGGACAGAATTAGAACTGTATTGATAAAGCAATACTGTTCAGTGAGGTCATATTCCTAGAGCTGGTGGTGAGATTAGATTAATCAAGTTACAATTTAACATGCGAAAGATTTTTTTTTTTTTTTTATAAGAACAAGGTTACAATTTTATCAGAAAATAACTATTGTTACAAAAAATATGGCAAACAAACAATACAGTTGGAAATATTTGGTATTTCAAGAACGTTTTAAAATAAAGCTGGAGCACAAAGGGGTAAAAGGAATCTGATTTTTAAAAGAATAACCCCCCCTCAAACAAATCACACAAAATAAACCAGTGTTATTTTAAAAACTCATAATTTTGAGATTTTTTCACAAGAGTAAAATAACTAGATGACAAGTAAATTAACAATGAACCCGTAGTAAGAGAAAAAAAAGTCATCATGTGACAAGGATTTTTTTAATTGAAGAAAGTGTTCATTTTTATGAGAATAAACCAAATCAAAATTCAGATTAAAATTGTCAGAATAAAAAAAGTATACTTCATTTTTATGTTAGACGTAATTACTCAAAGAATTAGTGAACACAAGTCAAAATTGGCACTCCAACATTGCAATGCCATTTCAGTGCACTAGAGGGCACTGTAACATCACCGACGACGATACTTTTTTTTTCCACCCTTCTTTTCATACTTACATCTTGGCCATCATTAAGTTAGTTTTTAACGTTTACAACCGATCGTTAAATTACGTCTCTGTACCATGACATGAGCTTAATGTTCCTCTTCATCTCGTCTCCATTCTCTTTTCCTCGCTTTGCTCGTGGCGACCGCGCCGCAGCCGAGTCTCACACGGGCAAAGGCATGTACCTGAAGCGCATCCGCTACCACGGCAGAGGCATGTTCGGCATCATGGACAAAGTCTACTGCCACTATTTTGTCAAGCTGGTGGAGGGCCCGCCGCCCACCATCGAGCAGAAGACAAGCCTAGACCAGGCCAACGAATACGTGGAGAGCCTCAAGAGGAGGACCATCATACACAGTCTGTAGGGCAAACGGCCATCATGAGTGTGAGTGCGGCAATATATTTGTTTGTTTGTTTTTTTTTTTGTCAATAAATGCCTGAAGAGACACTCTTAGCGCTTCTCGTTTTGTGTACAGGACGGTGAACCTCGTTTTTGCAGCCGATACGATCCCTACCCAAACCCCAAAAGTGAACGTGTGTGATATTGAGATTAGAGAAATACAAGAAAACAGTCCTGATATTTAGCCCCTAAAAAACTAAAAAAGAGAGAGAAAACGTGACTATGTACATGCTAACATAAGCCATACATAAAACATCACTGTTTATATTACAGCTTTACTCTCCAAACTTTCTTTTCGCATCACCATCAATGTGTATTAGCGCTGCACCCGTTAGCTGAGAGCGCTAACACATTCACATTCAATACCATCCGCTGGCTCCAGTTTCATCGAGCGAGCGCTATCCATCTCGGGCCAGGCTCGTTTCTTTCAAAAAGGGTCCAAAAAACAAATAAAGTCCTTCTCAAAATTCTCGACGCTACTGCTGCTGCCCTTGATGATCTGCCTCTCGGAGTGCAAGCACATGCAGCCGCCATTAGACGGAATGTTAATGAGTACTTTCACGGTCATGCTTAATGTTCGAGCCTCGGTTGAGACAGATTGTATCATTTGGGAGGCAGAAGTTTATTCAAGTGAGGTGTTCGCTTTTAAAAATGTAGCATTTTAGACGTTTGATATTTCAGTTGCGACGTCAACGCATATGTGAACCAAACTTGCTCACGTCGTGGCTTTTATTGACTCAACTGCATCTACTTTCCTGTTCAGTGTGTAAGTATCGGGGTGTTTTTATGTAGCTAAAATAAAGTGGGGGGGGGAACACTATTTTACGCTCATTATAAGCGTACTAGGTGTTTTGGTTTACAGTTTATTCATGTTAGGTGTGTATTTATTTATTTATTTTTTTTACTTTTTCGATGGCTGCAAATATGACTCGTATTTCCCTGTACAGTGCATTTTATTGACTCAGCTGCAGAGTGTGCCGGGTAGAGCTACTGGTGGTGCGGTGAGTACATATTACAGTATTTCAGGAAAATGCATGACTGCAATGTGGCTGACTTATTTGTAACTGCACACCGGCTCTGTTACCGTCACGGTTAAATATTACAGGGACACACAAACTTTTTTTTTTTTTTAATGCCCTTTGACAGAACTTGCTGCACTTGCTGGTGAAACATTTATGCCGGTCCACTGTGGTTTTCATGAGAACACACACGCACACACACGCACACCAATATGAATTATTGAGCACAGACAAGCTTTTCTGCAACACCCCCAGGAAGCATGTTGCTCCTCGTCTCCTGTCATACTGTGGGACAAGAAAACATGCCGCAAATGTCAGAAATCAACAGGAGGAAAGATCCAAGTAAGTCTACCCTTTTTTTTTTCAAATTCATGAGCAGTTGAAAATACTCAACCTGCACTGAACTCACACACACACACACCCAGACACACACACATGTGCGCGCACTTGTATGTAAGGCTGGTGTTTTGGCTAGCGACAGCGTTCAAGTGGGATTTATGTTCGGGTGTAAACACCACCTGAGGTAAGTTGCGCTTATTTTTCCTTTTCTCTAATTTTTGGAAAGTGTCGAGAGTACGGGCTGTCGGAGCTCAGTGGCGTGGTGTCAGAAGTGGAATGACACTTGAGACAGGTGACCCCTATGCAACAGATTCGAGTGATTGTTTTAGAATAATTGGAATACGGTTATAATGCGCACTTTTGTTGCTAATTAACCTCTAGGGAACTATAATGAACTCTGGTTTTGATGTACGTTTGAATAAAACACTTTTATTACGAAACTGGTAATGGAAAGCAATTTTATGTTGAAATCATTCAACATATTTGCGATGGTGGAGTCTTGAGGTTTGCCCAGACCTGAGGAGGAGGGCACTGGGAAGTCGGTTCTGCAGCCAAACTCTCTTGGTATTTAATGGTTTGGTTGGCTGGAGTCACCTTTGTTCACTCCCACAACGGTGCAAACACCACTTGCAATTTGCACTTGAATTGGGCCCAAAATAGGGGCTATCAGGTGGGACAAAATTTATGCAACAGACTCTCACTCTAGAAATCGTAGAAGCCTTAGAGTGACTGGAATTAGTTGGAGGGACTACTTTTGGGAGTTCCGGCACACGTGGTGTCAGACGTGGGATGGCACGGAATTGTTTTGGAGCTTTGTCTGAATATCCACACGTATTTTTTTGCACTGAGTGTCGCTGTTGTGTTGCCGACGTTCCTGCCTGCCACCCTCCTATCACGGGTCCACAGCACGTCTTTTAGCGCGGCGTGATGTCAGCGATATTAGAAACCCACGCCTCCGGGTCCTACTGTGTACCTGCATGGCTCTCCATTCATCAAGCATCATTTCAATATTCAAATATGTCACACGCGGCGGCAAGCCAGCCGCGCAGAGAAATTGTGCGGCATGGAGGGGGGGAAAAAAATTATGTATTGTTACAGTTCACTCGGCTTCTTCCTGATTCTCTCCCACTTATTTGCATTTCAGGTTCTCTTGAAATTTGTAACAACAGAAGTCAAACACAAAGGAAGAAAATATCCTTTGCTTCTTTCAGGCTGGATTTGAAGCAAGGTTATTAGAGTCAAGGAAAACTGAAAAAACTTTTTCATGAACGAAAAAAAAATGCTTTTAAAGAAACAAAATTTCAGTGAAATTTAATTTATAAAACTAACAAACACGAACTGTAATTACAGCGAAAAAGTCCTTCGCTAGTCTAGCGCAAATGCTGTCCAACTGTGCGCATGGGTGGAATTTTCTTTCTTTCGGTATTTTTGTAGCTGGGCGCAGGAAGAAACAGGCGATTGCGCCGTTGTGGGTGTAACACAGCCGACTTCCTTCCTGGCCAATGAAAGCGGTAAAGTTGACCAGGGCAAACACACACCAATGTGATGGTTCATGTCCGTGTGACACCCGCGTAATTGTCCCACGGCCCAAGGGGGTGTTTTAATAGGTCTAATCAAGCTGATGATTATAATAATGCGATCAATGCATTGATTCTAGAGAAGGACTTGGAGGGTTCGGCACCTGCTGTTGTCTTATATACGCAATACAATGACATCTATCGCACGTATCGGCGCAGTGCAGAATCTGTCTGCCTGCGCTTCGATCAAATCCACCAAAATTGCCTCCTGCGCCACAACATAGACCTGCTTTTATCTAAAGCGGGATGACACTTTTTCCAACAACTGGTCAACATTTCACTGTTTCAAGCCAGTTGCTCAGGCTTCACTTTTAATTTATTTTGAGGGTCCCAAAAACTTGATTTCTGCTGTTTTTACAACTTCCCGAGCCACTTTGCATTCTGTCCAGTGATGACCCAATCAGAGCTTATATTGATATTTTGGTCAATTTCTGGACATCGCCTCTCTTGTAAACCAGGACCAGTAAATGCAGAACCAATCAAAAGTCCGACAAGACGTCTGAAAGAAGGCAAGGCAGCAAACCTACTTTGTTAACAAGCCCCGCTGTTGGCTTAATGAAATATTGACTTGCAGATTGTATTGTCAGAGCGCAGAAAGCTTTCAAAGCACTTGTTCCACACAGTACATCTGTACTTTTTCGGGGGAGGTACGGGGGTGCCATTATTTTTGCAAAATGTAGCGTGGGCCACGTCCATGATTAGCAGGACATTTCTCTGTCAATCAAACCCGATGTTCAGTAAAACGGTTGCAGGGCAAAAAAACAAAACATTTCAAACAACAATTAAATTCCATTCACGCTCATCGGCTCAATTCAATGAATGTATTTGAACCTTAACCCCAAAAATGTGCACGTAATCTCCGCGTGGAGAGCGCAGATAAGAAAATAATCCCGACTAACGCAAGCGTTTTTGTGGCGCCAGAACCTTTACTGCCACTGCTGAGCAACTCTCAGAAGTCGCAAAAGTGCCTGAAAACAAACACGCCCAAAATCAATCAATCACAGTCGCCTCCACCGCGTTGCGCCCGCGCGGGTCTGGCCCGAAACAGCTCATCCATCATTTTCAATTGCGTTCCCGCTGAAGTTCATCATCTCCGATGACAAAAACAAACGAGAAGTCTTGGGATATGAAACAAAACAGACCCACAACAGATAAAAACTTTGGATTGGCGAATCCTTCCAGTGAAGAGAAAGAGAGAGAAAAAAAAACAGTAGAGAGAGCGAGAGAGATGGAAATACGAACATTATTTTGAGTTTGTGTCGGCGAAAGAACACGGGATGGAAAAAAAAAAAGGCACGTTGCACATTCTGTGCTGTTGACAAAATGTTATCTAGCTTCAAAAACACCACCGGTATGCCAACGCTCTTGTCGGCGTGACCCTGAGTGACAAGGAAAGCTCCAGAACTTGACTTCCTCCAACGGGGCGGGCTCGGATCCCGAGTACGTCGGAGCAGATGTTGATGTGTTACCTGGCAAAGTCACCCGCGCGCTCGTTAATCACGCTTCCCCGACGCCCCGAAAAAAAACGCCCGCCCGTCCCCCCCCGCGCCGGCGCTTCGTCAAGGTCCCGCGTGATGAACGAAGCCGGCGTCTGCGATCTCCCTCCAATTTAATGATAAGCATCACCTGTTGCCGGAGTGCTTTGTGAGTAATTGGTCTGTGCCTTTTGCTTGATTAATCTGATTGTTGCATTTTTCATGCCCCCGCCACTCGCCCCCCTCATCCGATGATTGCGCCTGTGCTACAGGTGCCCGGTTTCATTAATTAGCGTCCTAATTGCATTGGAAATAGGCTGCGCGCAAGTTGGTTTTAGCGGGGAGTTGCCATAATTGCAACGAACAAAACACTTTTGAGTGTTTGTTCACAGTCGAAAAGAAACAAAAAACAAAAGTCCACCCGTAGCACTTCTGAACACTCATAAGTCACTAATATCTTAATAATGACGCCTCTATTTAATAAATGATCTCCAAATACTTTTGAAAAAAGTTATTAAGGTGTGATAATAATTCAGTCGGAGAAAATAAATGAAAAAAATACAAATGCACACTGCTAAATAGTGAGCCCGCATTTGGTGGTTAGGCGACGTGGTTTAGGGGCTCGGACTCGGATCACTACAGTA